GGGGGGGGGGGGGCAAACAGAATTACTAAAGTTACGAATGCGCCCCCCGGTGCTTTGTGCGAAATGGACAGCCCTCTTCTCCCCTTTGATCTGCTCAGCATGTTCGATGCTCCCTCGACTCGACTCGGCTCAATCTGGGGCATTTTAAAAGTGTGAAACGATTAGATTGCGATTTCGCGCCTGGACTCGGGACCGGGGCCCAGACTGCCTGATAATAACGGCTGCGTTTGTCGTTGGCACCGATTGCCAATCCAATTATTTGTTCAGGACGCTTTCTGTTAACGTTGGCGGCTTCTGACTCTTTGTGTTCCGCGTTCACGGGTCTATCAACGGGATCCGCACAGTATCTCGTTTGCGAGGTGCTTTGTGAACGGGGACCAAAAGACACAGAGGGAACAGAGGAAGAACATGGTTTACATTGTGATTGAGGGAAATTTAAAGAGATTCTTTACAAATCATCATAAAGAGGACAATTGAAATGGATCTCAAGTTCAATTTAGAAATATAACTTGGGAAATAGACCTTTGCAAGGACTTACAATGAATTGCCTCCATAAAATATTAACAAAAAATTTAAAAAATTTCAAGTTTTAAAAATTTCTAGGTAGTTTCTCATCTACTAAAAAGTTTATAATTTCAATTTTGAAAATTTGCACTGGCAAATCATAGAGGGGCAACGTTTAACCTTTTTTTACTCGATTCTATATTTGTTAAGTTTTTCTTTTTGTGATGATTTGTTAAGGATCTGCTTAAGTCGCCTTTTACCACAATGTAAACCAGATCGACGATTAGGTTGCAAAAAAGTGTATCTAGAATGTGGTGTTTCGAAATCTCCGCTACTACTGTATTTTTTAAAAGGAGACCAAATCAACACCATAGCTTGAAATTTTCACAGAATTTCCTTAACAGGTACAGAGAAGAAAATAACTGACATTTTAAAAAAATGACGTGCAAAAGTTTTCTACGTAGAAAACTAAGTATGACAGGAAGTCTGCATCGCCACAAACCGAGATACACATTTCTGCGGTTTTACAATCGATAAGAGGTTTCCTATGGAAAGATACTGTTTAAGGCACCTACTACAAATACGACTTTTAGGTGCAACAGCGATTCGCCTTGCGAAAACTGTGGTGCTAGGGAAGAACGCCGTATGAGCCTTCAGACGTTAACAAATTTTCTTTGATAAATCACGAATTTTCGGGAAAATTTGTAAAAATTTTTCATCCAAATTTTCGGAGAAATTTGATAGTAATTTGTCCTGATGTGTCCGAAAATTTCAAGAAAAAAATTCACAACTCTCTTCAAAAATAAACTTTTCTTGAGAGGAAATTTGGCGTCATTCGAAGCTCATACGGCGTTTTTCCCTGTAGCACGTCAGTATATACACTCGGGTATTTTTCAGAAAAATTTGGCCCCTGATATCGACGACTCCTGATGGGAGGTTGAGGTCCCTTCTCCCATGGATGCTCAAACGTGATTGAATGATCCCTTAAAATCAGACGAGGATTTACCGGCGATACAGGTCATGCATAACAGCCAGCAAGTTCTGGCCACAGGATTTGCTCCGAGGAACTTCAAATACCACAAGCAGAGACAAACGGAGATGTGTGCGAGGCAAGCTATTTCGTCAAACATTGAGCATCCAATGTTTGTATACTGATAAAAACCATCGGAGCGCGTTGCGTTGCGTTGGGCCTCAGTTTGGGCTGTGGGTGATAGTGGGTGACTGGGTGACGGTGGGAAACCTGGGAAGAGTTGCCATATCGGACAAAATGTCAATTCAATTGAGTCAGAGTTACTGACATCGTTTCTTCTCTGACGTGAGGGCATATCGTCACCTCCCGAAGAAAGCATCACAGGCGCCATGCGAGGTTTCAACATTTCCGCCGCCTATTTCATTTATCTTACAAAAAAATTATTGGTTGAATCTGTTTAAAGATGTCACTGAATTTTATTATTTTATTGAACTAGTTATTTTTAAGATTAAGTGAACTTTTTTTTCTGCTTCGAAAGAGGGGAGAAAACCGAGTTCTGGCAACGACTGCTCGCATGTGCCAGGAATGAGCTGCCTGTCCCACCCCTTGACAGTCGCGAGCAACTGACGGGGGATAACGTGAACTTAACTGAAAAGTTTTCAACTCTTGTTTACAACGGGATTTTTGAATGTGCCAAAATGTTTGCGAAGCACTCCTCCACGCAGCGGTGTTAACATCTCAATTACGAGTGTTTTTGACACTAACAACGAACTCCGTTTCCCAAGAACAGTAATAGACAACATTTTATTATTTTACGAGCTGATAAAATGGTAATATTCTAGTATACTTGACAAGAGGAGTCAACGCATTCGACGAGAAGAGTCATTCTCTGCTTGAATCGATCCTTCAAAAGACAGCAGTTCCTACAAGTAAACGTGAACCACGGATAACCGTAAGTGCTTTGAGGCCCTCCTCAAAATATCGACGGTGAATTAAATAAAACTAGCAAAAAGGCACACAAAAATAATAACTGGCAATACCCGATTTTTATTCGTGGTTATAGAGCAACGTCTGAATGTTCATATGACATTCTTCCCGAGTATAGCAAAGGTAGGTAAGCTCGTCTGAAAGCTAGAGATTCGGATGATCTATTTCTCGGAAGGCGTCAGTGCATTCCGTCATCGTTGTGACACATTCGGGGAGTTGTCTCATCGACTGGCAAACCAGATCACTCGGCCTCGATTCTGAGGAGCCGTTCATTGTGTAGTTCTGATTGTTTCTACATGACGTCACTTTCCAGCGAGTACAACACTAAGTGCAACGCGCGATGGGTCGGTCGTGCACGGTTCGCAAGAAGATGTGTAGATGGATGCGGCTTGTGCGGAGGAGGGAAATAATAAAATCAGCTCGAACACGTTCCTACGTTTTTACGTCTAAGACGTATTCAATGGAAACGTCATCCATGCTGAATTCGATGTATCGATGCTCGAAGATTCCAATGTGAGCAAAAAAACATACGGGTAATATACGTCGTGGGTCTACACTAATTTACGGTGATTCTGCTGCGTTATTAAAGAGAGCGGTAATGACCACATTTCCGAGATCGATTTTTCTTCCAAATTCGACTAATTGACTTTGAATGAACGTGATGATTCCACTAAAAAACGAAATTATTCTTATTTGCAAAATAATGAATATGCATCGACCTCCTGTGGTGTATTAGTTGTAACACTGGCCCTTTCAGAAAGTCCCGTGTTCGATTCTGGGTCAGGTGTACTGAGTTTGATAGTATAGACAAGAGACACCTGAGGCTGAGTGTAAGGGGACAGTGGATTAACGCAACCGTGGAAAAATTGGCATAAAGAGCCTAAATAATTTCAAAAGAACAACAAACGCGCAAAAATTGACATTATTCCGAAACAACAGTCCATTCAATCCATTGAGAGGACATGCAGCATGTCTTGCTGTCATGTGCAAGTTAAAATCGATTTATTATCAAGGAAAATCGGCTTAAAAAAGTTTTCTCCATTTGTGCCATTTTCCGCCATTCCGCAAATGATGTCTCTATGAAAACCTCTCTGGATATGCAAAAGGAAATCGAGGAAACTCATAAACACTGTCGCCGCAAAAAAGCTAACTTCGCGTTAAAGATCCAGGGCATTTTCTGAAGAAGAATTGAACCGACAAAGTATTAAACGGTTGAAATAACTGAAGAATACAATAAAATATCCTGGAACTGAATACGACGCTCGGTACACTATGATAGGTCTGTTCCAGGAACGGGAAGGAAGATTATGCCTTGCACCCGCATCTAGGTTCTGGCGGAATTTCTCGATGCTTGAGAGCAGATTTTTGATGATGGCAGCGTCTCTGCATCAAGTTACAATGCAATCCGACAATTTATAACGTATCTCTTAACATTCTTCACGTTTTTTTCCTCCTTTTTTTAAATCCATGCGCGCGGGAATTAAAGTAAGAGAGTCCGATAGCCATGAAAGTTTCCGGTAAACTGCGCTCTATGCGGCGAGAAACCCATTTGAGTAGCTGCGAAAATT